GAAAACTATGAGGTTTAGTGTGCTTGGGTGGGAGAATTTTCGGGATGGGTGACCCCTTAAAAGTTTTCTACCTAGGTAGCTCCAAAGTAGACAATATCTTTTGCGTGTGTTTGAGGATGTCACAGATGGTATCTTAGCTAGGGAATAGTGATGTTCGATGTTCGATAAGGACGCCAAACCCTTATGGGGGAGAAGTGGTGCGCCACCATCCCACATCAGTTGGAGGACTCCAACCCTCCCACTTTTTCAACCTACTTGTTACATCGTTGTCATATCAGTTTTTCTCTCCCCTCTCACTTCCATCCCTCTTATCCCACAACACATGAAAAATCATCCTTCGCATCCATTCTAACCCACTCAATTTTTTATTATTACATTAAACATTACTAATTTAAAACTTAAAAAAATAGAATTTAAAAATAAAAATAACATTTAATTAAATTAAAAGTTAAACAATACAAATGGTAAAAAAGGACAAAAGGACAAATAAAATTCAAAGACATTAATTAAATTGTAAAAAAACGTTTATGCAGTCTTTTAAAATATTCCACCTCGTCTCATACTAAAAAACTTTCATGTTATGGTGTTCGCGATACTCAGTTTTTTGTTGCATTGATAACATCGTCGGACATGTATTCATCTTTTTGGTGAAAATGGAATTAAACTCGATAACTTTCCCTCACATATCCTACAATTTGAAGAAATTTTATTGCGTTGTACGATCTGAATCTCGCAAGTTGCTATTTAAAATGATGCAACACTGTTCCCTAAAAAGCAGGAGATCATTGTGGATTTCCCTATTGATTATCTTACATAGTGTCAATGTAAGCTTTCGCCAACGTCATCATTTCCTATTCAAACAATTATAAACATATATTGGGATATTCTGAGCTTCTCTAGGAGTAGAATCCATTTAAAATTAAATTAGATTAAACTGGAGAAAGTGAGAATGAAATAGGAGAGAATTGGAATGACCTGGAAGACGAAGTGTGATTTTTGAAATGGAAGAGTGTTGTATTTATAGTGAGTTATACTGAATAAGCAAATTAAAATTTCAATGGTTGTGTAAAGAGAGAAAATCATCATGGGTTACATTGCCACGTTTCAAGCAAATAGTGGTACCTTCCTTCCATGGATCGGTGAAGCCGGTGGTGTAACACCCCTAATTCAACAGACCAAGAATGGAAAGGAAAACCCTAAGTCAAGGAGTCAACTCGTCGAGTCCAAGGAAGAACTCGACGAGTAGGAGCAAGTTTCGTGTCGCGGATTAAGTGGCCGACTCAGCGATTCGGGGGACTGACTCGGCGAGTCTGGCCTGGGTTAGGAAACCCTAATTTTGGGACTTGGTGCCCTATTTAAGCCTCATATTCTCATTCCTTCATCCTTATCTTCAGCCACCAGACTCCAAACCCTTACCCACGAAACCCTAGTGCATCTTATGTGTGTTTGAGTCACTTTTGTGTGAATTGTGTACTCTTGAAGAGGAAGAAGGAGAAGAAGGAAGTTTGAGGTTCAAGAAGGAGGAAGTAGATCCAGAAGATACACTCATTTGGCTGCATTTCTTGGTAATCAAGTCTTCATCTTGACTTCTAGTTTCTTTGATCTCTTTATAGCCCCTTTTATGAAGTTTATGGACCAAGAATGATTACTTGTGGGATTTGGACGTCCCCAAGCAAGATCCTTGCAGATTTGGGAGTATTTAGAGTAGTTGAGGCATAAAGGTGGAAGCTTTATGCCATTGGAACTCCCCATGAAAAGTTTAAGAGGTTGTTATGGCCTTTTGAGCAAAAAGGGCCATGCATGGATGCAAAGGTAATAGCTTTGCATGTTATTCCGACACTAGGAGGTTAGATCTGGGTCTTGGACACCTTGTGCTTGACTGAAATCGTCTGAATAGAATTGGACATAGAGGGACTCGGCGAGTCATTTGTGGGACTCGGCGAGTCAGACAATTTTCTTGCCCCAAAACCCTTCTGTAAAGGATATGAGTTGAGTTGGTTAAGGACTCAGCTAGTCTGGGTCCATAGTGGACATGAAGATCATCGTACTCGACGAGTTCAAGGAGAAACTCGGTGAGTCCAAGGAGAAACTCAGTGAGTCCAAGGCAATCTCCCAACCCATGAAGATGGACTCGACGAGTTGTTCATACAACTCGGCGAGTCACAGTCTGGACACGTTCACATGAGGAAGATGAACTCGACGAGTTCAAGGATGAACTCAGCGAGTCGATTGAAGATGGTCCTGATTGTATGGTTGAAGGAGAACCCATCGAGTTCTTGCTAGACTCGACGAGTAGAGTCGGGGGTTGTATTGGGTTGGAGAAGTATGAAATCGACGAGTTGGTAGACCAACTCCGCGAGTCAAGTCAAACTGGATGTTGACTTTGACCTGGGTTGACTTTTGGATTATTGTGGTCTAAATGTTATTTTGGGTATTGATAGTTGAGAAGCCGAAGGGTCAGCGGTTCAGAAGTTGCCGGTTAGCAGTCAGAAGTGTTCAACTATTCTTCAGCAGTGCGAGGTGAGTCTCCTCACTGTATGCATGGGTCTACGGCCACAATGCCGGCCCATTATGTTTGTGTGTAGTAGGAAGACCTGGGGGTTAGCCCTAGGCATTTTATGATATGTTTCGGGCGAGGCCCGAGGAATGTAGTATGCTAGAGGTAGTTGTGATTCTTGTATGTGTCAGTGTTTATAGGTTTCGGACCAAGGTCCGATGCTGGGGTAAGCCCGGAGAGTGTTTATGGTAGTATGGTTCCGGACCAAGGTCCGATGTCGGGGCAAGCCCGAGGAAGGTTTATATGTTGAATGTTAGATTATACTTGTTGTCTTTGTGATACTTGTATATGCCTGGTAGGGGGTGAGTGTGGGCGAGGTCCCGTATCTCATCACCAGCCGAGTATGGACGGGGTTCCGTATCTCATTAGTAACAGAGCAGAGGCGAGGCCTGGGTTAGGAGGAAGGTGAGTGTGGTCGGGGGCCCGTATCTCACCATCAGCAGGAGCATGGACGGGGTTCCATAACTCATCAGTAGCAAGACAGGGGCGAGGCCCAAGTTAGGCGACGCCTTAGATCAGAAGTATAGTAAAGTATGTTTAGCTATTTGTTATGTGTTATGTTATATGTTTGTATGTGTTTAGCGGGCGAGGCCCAGAGATAGGCGGGGCCTAAGAGAAACATATCTGTATACCGAGCGGGGCTCCATGCCAGGCGGGGCCTGATGCAGGGCGGTGCCCGATGCCGGAGCGAGTCCGATGTCGGGCAAGTCCCGATGCAGCGGGCAGGGGCCCAGCATGTGGATATGTGTATGGTATGTGGTAGGTTGGGGAACTCACTAAGCTTCGTGCTTACGACTTTCAGTTTTGGTTTCAGGTACTTCCAGTAGCAGAGGGAAGAGCTCGAGGTGATCGCATGACACACACCATTGTTTATTTAACCTGGGATGTTTTACTCTGATAATTGATATACATTGATATGATGTTTGATATACTATGACATGTGTTTTGGATAACTCTTGTTTACTTAATGGTTTTTAATGAAATTTTTGGGTCGTGTTTTTGGGATGTTACAGGTGGTACCGCTACTGAGCTATACCACCTTTCGGTCGACTCGATCCACGCACCCTAATAGACCTTGATTAAACATCGAAGATGCCCTCATAATTTGCTTTTTATGAGAGAATTACTAATCTAGCAAAATGTGCTAATGAGTTTTCACTTGATAGCAAAAAATTAGTTAAAATATCATTTTAGCCGCTCAAACCGCGACTGAGGCAAACACGCTAACAGTTTGCCTACTAAGTTGCGGTTTCACATTAGTATATAATTTCTTTCTCACCAAACCACACCACAAGTGGCATTAGCGACTTACATTATGCTTTCGTTGAGGTGCTATTTGGATTTTTGACGAACACCGTTCCAGATATTAACAAAACCGCAGCTGAGACCATCAAGCTGCAGCCGCAGTTTCGATTTTTTTTAAAACTTTTTTTTTTGTTTTGACCTTGGTTTGGTTGAAGTTGACTATTATATTCGACATATTTAACTACTGTATGATACATATTTTTACTAATATATATAAAAAGAAGGTATGTTTTAGAGAATAAAATTTAGTCTTATTTTTTCTCTCAAATATCTTATTATGAGTTCTAGTAAAAATTTTGTTTTGGTTATCAATGATGGAAGACGGCAGTAAGTTGGTTCTTGTAGAAAGGCTCATACTTTTTTTAAAAAATTTTAATTTTATTTCATATACCGACCGATATAAAACTAGAAATGAAACAAAACTCCTTAACACCAAATGATAGACTAATATGAGAAATTCTAAAATATAAATGTTCTTCCGTGTCCATTTCATCAATCGAGCGTAACCTATGAAGAAACAATGCATGATTGAGTGGTGGCTCACCAATCACACCGGTACATTCAAAATATGTCCAAAGCTAGTCGTCAACATAGCATGTGGAATGTTCAAATGATGTTTCATACAACGTAATCAAAGGATATCACTACACAAGTTACAATCTAAAAAAATTAGGAAAAAAAAAGAAAAGGAAAAAATGCAGATGCATGTTCATTTGTGATGTACAAGTATCTAATGCACATTTTGTGCATCAACGACTTGTACACAACAAAAGGCTTGTTCGACTGCGGTTTGGATATTATTATTTTTTTGTATTCTGCCAAATACGTACAAAATAATCAAAAGATATCACTACACAACATGCAATCTAAAAAAAGGAAAAGGAAAAAGAAAATACATGGCTTGTTCATCTACAAGTATACAATGCACACTCTATGCATCAACGACTTATACACCGCATATGTCATGCTCATCTATGGTTTGTTTATTTGTTTGTTTTGTTTTGTTGATGTTGTTTATTTTTTTAATCGTTTTTTTGCCAAAAATTCATACCCCATACTACTAGATTTCTATATAAATGATAAAAAAACAAATAAAATTCGAAGTATAAGACAAAAACATGATTGTTGTTTGGAGCCTCCATTACAAAGATAATTTCGTTTGCTTCCAACCCGAAAATGATCGAAATAGTTTTTTTTTTCAAACTTTATATATTATGAGTTAATGGGCGGCCAAACAATAGACAACAAACATGTTGCAAAACCACAACCCATATACCCAATACCACAGACGATCCATCTTAAATTCACTAAACCTCATGTGACGTGCCCAAACCGCAGGTGGCTTAATCTTGAGTGCGGTTTGAGTGGCATTTTCTTGCTATTGTCTAAATTTTTGCTATTAAATAAAAAAATCATTAACACAACACATTTGGCTCGATAATTTTCTCTATTTTTATTCTAACAGGGTTTCCCCTCTTGTGGGTCTGGGGAGTGGTGTTTTCACTGTGGGATAAACTGCTTTAAAAGCTGCATCAAACAAAGTGACAAAACATGAGAAAACGTGCATGAAAAATAAACACACGTTTATACCCTTTGCATTTGATACTTTCGGTTTCCTTGCGTCAGAAGTTGTGGAGCTAGTCAATAGAGTCCAACGGGTCATTCATAGTAATGTTATGACTCAAATATATATAGATGTTGTTTTTAAAAGAATTAGTTTTGTCATCCAGAAAGGAGTTAGGGCATAGCATATTGCTTGTTAGCCGCTTTGTCTGTGTAAAAGTTTCTTTCTATCTTTTATTAAAAAAAAAAAAAAAAAAGCCTGATTTATATTCGTCTAATCTGGAATCGACAGATGCCGTTAGCTCTTTTGGCAGTCTGATTCCACTATTCCAGTGAGCAGCCATTGAGAATAAACGAGTCGTGGGAAGAGACCTAAGGCCGGCGTTCAGCAGGGTGTTCCTCTTTAAGTTTCCTCCTCCGGTAGAGATTTCCGATCAGATGGATATAACAGAAGGAACGCCTGCTCTCCATGGATTCCGAATGCCCGCAGAATGGGAACCCCACTCTCAAACCTGGCTTGGTTGGCCCGTCAGTCTTCTCTCTCCATACATTTCTTCATCTTTTATACTTTAATTCTTGCTGATTTTAACCTAAAACAAAAGCTCTCTCTTTCGATTTCCAGGAGCGTCCTGATAATTGGCGAGATAACGGAGTCCATGGCCAGAGTATTTTTGCAAAAGTTGCTTCCGCTATTTCTAAGTTCGAGCCTGTCACTGTCTGCGCCAGTGCCTCACAGGTTACCTAATTCGTTTTCTCTCTATCTGTAATCTGTTTGCAGTTCGTTTTCTTATCGTATCGTAATTAGTAACCATGTTTGATGAAGTATCCTAGTCAAAATTTCTCTTAAATGGACCTTACAATCAAATATCTAGGTATTGAATGGAAGAACATGATTTGAAGGACTTGAATGTCAATAAAAGATAGTATCAATACAATATTTGAATTTTGTAAGGCAGTGAAGTGTAAATAAGTGTAGTCATGAATGTTATATGGGGACACTTTTCAACAATTTGGAATAAGAATACAAAGCACATGACCACTTTTCTGTTTCCTCTCCGGTCATCTTTACCAAAAACTTGATTCTTGATTTCTGCCTTTTTTTGGTATCAATGCTTTGATCATTCTTGTCAAATACTACTATATCAATAATAGAGAATCTCCATTTCATTTTCATGTATGCCTCAAACATCTAGTTCTAATTTCTGTGAAACACTTAAACCAACATCCCTATCTTTTCATATCACCCCTTTTAAAACATGCTAACATTACACTATTACATCTATCCATTTATTTATTTATTTATTATTTTTTTTTGCAGTGGGCTAATGCACGCGATCAATTGCCTCATAATGTGAGGGTTGTTGAGATGAGTATGAATGATTCTTGGTTTCGTGACAGTGGTCCAACTGTTAAGTTCTTCTTCCATTTCACCTTTCTTTTGATCAATTCTCTGAATTACTTTTTAATTTCTTATTCAATAATCCTTTTCTTTTACTCTATAGTTTGTTGTAAGTGAGGGGAAATCAAGTTCAGGACATAATGTTGCTGGTATTGATTGGAACTTCAATAGTTGGGGAGGTAAAAGCTTTTGTATTTTAATAGTTTTACATATTTTATTTTATCAAATAATAATAACAAAGTAAATGGCTGTTTGTGTATTTTAGGTATTGATGATGGTTGCTACATAGATTGGAGTCATGATCTTCTTGTTGCACGAAAGGTTAGATTCGTAAATATTATCGATACATATTTTTGAAACTTCAAAAGATTTACATCATCTTAAAAATTTTCTTAAAAGATTTCCATTAATTTTGGTTTTGCTTTTTCCTTTTAGATTCTTTCAATGGAGAGGATTCCTTGTTTTCCACAATCCATAATTCTTGAAGGTGGAAGCATTCATGTAGATGGTGAAGGTAACAACTTTTGTATTGTTGTTTGTGTATTTTATTATTAGGTAGATTTTTACTAATTTGATATCATGTAAATCATTTTTTTGTTTTTTTGATACAGGGACATGCCTTACTACAGAAGAATGCTTATTGAACAAAAACAGGAATCCACATCTGACAAAAGAACAAATAGAAGATGAACTTAAAGCCTATCTAGGAGTCAAGAAGATTATATGGTTGCCCCGAGGACTATTTGGTACATTTTCAAAAAATGTTAAATGCAAGAAATAACAATGTATGTTTTTTTTTTTTTTTTTAATTATATTATTATTTATATACAGGTGATGATGATACAAATGGACACATAGACAATATGTGCTGTTTTGTGAAGCCTGGAGTGGTGTTATTGTCCTGGACAGATGAGGAATCAGACCCTCATTATGAGCGAGCTGTAGAGGCTTTTACTGTTCTCTCAAATTCTACTGATGCAAATGGTAGAAAATTTGAAATTATTAAACTTCATATACCAGGGCCTCTTTATATGACAGATGAAGAAGCTGCTGGATTTATACAAGTAAGCATATACATCGATAGTATTTTCATAAAAAAAAAAAATTCAAAATTTTTTTAAATCATTTATTGTTTGTATTGTATTAACTACCAAAAAGGTGGGAGGAGCTAAACCAAGACTTCCTGGAACAAGGCTTGCTGCTTCATATGTTAATTTTTATATTGTGAATGGTGGAATTATTGCACCCCAATTTGGAGACCCAAAATGGGATGATGAAGCTGTGCGTGTCTTGTCTCACGCTTTCCCTGATGGTCAAGTAAGTATTTCATCAAAAAAAGTTATACTGCGTTTGACATACATTGGACCGGGACTCAGACAGATGTCAGTGGAACAAAAATTGCAATTTTTTGTCCCACGCAAAAAGATGGAACAAGGTAGGACACGGACCCGCTCTCGATCTCTCGTCTGTGTAAAAAGACATAAATGCCCTTCTCATCCTCATCATCGTAAATACCCCCATAAACCTTGTCTAGTCCAGTCCAAATCAATCTACTCCAGTCCCGTGTAACATACGGGACGGGAGGGGACTAGACAGGACCAGACTAGACAAGGTTTATGAGGGCATTTACGATGATGAGGACGAGAAGGGTATTTACGTCTTTTTTGCCCAGATGAGAGATCGAGAGTGGGTTTGTGTCCTACCTTGTTCCATCTTTTTGCGTGGGACAAAAAATTGTAATTTTTGTTGCACTGACATCTGTCTGAGTCCTAGTCCAGTGCACAATACAACTTAATTGAGTTTGTGAATGTTGTTTGTTTAAGGTGGTAAAAATTGATGGGGCGAGGGAAATTGTTCTTGGAGGAGGTAACATTCATTGTATAACACAACAGCAGCCTGCTGGCCCACAAGCTCACTGAACTTTTTTAAAAGCTTAAACATAATTTTTACTTGATTCTTGTTGTTGTGGTCATTATGAAACAATGGAATTGTGCAATAATTTGTTTGGTTGTTTTGAAATTCATTCATGTCCGTGGTCTTAATTGGTGAAATTACTTTAGATAATGGACTGATGCAAGACTTAATATGGTAAGCTCTATACATTGCAAAAGTTGGTTGCAAGAGTTTTTTCTTCATATTTTCTCAATTTTATTCTTATTTTCTTAAATATTTTTAGCGGCAAATGACATAAATGTCCTACAATGTTTTCAAACTTGGTCGATTCAGTCCCTAAAGTTATTTTGTTGCTTTATGGGGGCATAAAGTCGGAAGCAACATGTTGGGTGGTTGGCAGTTTGTATGAATGTATATGAATTCAAAAACCCCAATGATCATTCTTTCAAATTTCTTCTCGAAGGTTGTTAGTATTATCATGTTGTCCGAAAGGGACAAGACGTTTATGGGTTGGTTTGCAAATTGGGTTTGATTCTGATGTATTTTTTGGGAACACCCAGGGATGTCAACGGGAGCAAACGGGGTGGGTAGCGCATCCCCCGCTCCCGCCCCCGAAATTTTCCTGTTCCCCCGCCCCCGAATCCCCTTTATTACCTCCACCCCTGCCCCTGATTAATTTTGGGCTGCCTTTTTTTGGACTAAAAGATGTTATTTAGGCTGAAAGAAACTATTTTTTAGGTAACAAATAACTATTTATAGTATAATTTAAATGTTAAAAATAAAAAGTTATGACATCTTAAACACATTATACTAACAACTTAAAAAACATGTTTTTTTGATGAATTTTGGAAGCTAAAATCATATTATTGTTTATTATATTTATATAACTAATATATGTAAATATATGTGTAATTTATTAACGGGGTCCCCATGGGGGTTTCGGGACGGGTTCGCCTACCCCCGACCCCGCCCCCAGAATTAAAACGGGGGTTATTCTTTCCCCCGCCCCCGTCCCTGCCCCCAATTTCTTTTTAAAAACTCCCCCAAACGGGACGGGGCCCCCGCGGGAACGGGGTCCCACGGGACTTTTTGACATCCCTAGGAACATTCTTCTAAGATTTTATGGTGAATATACTTGCGTAAACGATGCAGACAAAGTGTTCGATAAAATGTATGAGAGAGACGTGCCATCACTGTCAGCTTGTTACTCTTGTGTGCAGTCATTGACGTCAATCCATCTATTACTATCCATGTCATTGCTGATGTGGCAAAAAGAGTTGGTGTCTGGTCTCAGTGACTAAAAAGACCGACTAAAAAGACTGAATCGATCAACTTAAAAATATTGTAGGTTATTTGTGTCATTTCCTCGTATTTTTAGCATCATTCATGTATACGTTCATTCATGTATACCTGAGACAACACTTTATTTAAAGAGTATTTAATAAGGAAAATTTTGACAAAAACAGGCGTTAATGTTGATTTTGATCCATTTAGTTTAAAGTGGTTGATTTATTTATACATATTTTTCAACATATTTGAATTTACTAAAACTAAAAAATTATGTGAGTTTATAGGGTTGATCCTGAGGATTTAAATACCCAAGATGAGCCAGAAAAAAAATGCCCTTATTATTATTATAAACTTTATATATATATAATATATTTTTTTTAAACATAAGTATTATGCAGTTGTCCATTTTATCCCTGTCCATCACCCCGATGAGTTCATTAAAAATGTAATGAAATGTCTATAAAGAATTAATGATTTGCAAAAAGTGGAGCTAGCTCACAGAATTTGGGTTAAAGTTGATTTTTTTTGTTTTATTAATTGTGTTGAAAAGTTGAACATAATTTATCAATTTTAGTTAAAAGCATTGGGATTTTTAATCCATTCCAATTTATTTAAATAAACTTACCTTTTTTTTAATCTAACAGCATCAGACGTGATGTTCTCTCTTATTGAGGTTGAAAATTTAAATATTGTCTGAGGCATATCCGAGACATAGGTAAAATTAATAGTAGCTTAAATTTGCCGATTAAAAAAACATAAATACAAATTGAAAAAGAAATTTATACTTAAATAGCTTACAAATTCAAATATTCAAATATATAAATTTGTAATCAACTCGTTTTGTCACTTTTTGGGCAGCGGCAATTTAACTTTCACTATTAAGTTTGTTTTTATATAATTTTTTTTATGAATAAGATTAGACAACATTGCAAAAATGGTTTATGTGGTTGTTAAATTTAATTGGTTTTGGTCTAAAAAAATTGAATGTACATCAACAGTCTGATTTTAGATATCGTATAATTTGGTCTATATGCTTAACATTTTATATGGTTTGGTCCACACCCTACTTGAAATGACAAAATGTCTTAATATAATTCATTTTAATTTTTTTATTTAATTTCTTATTATTTTATAAAAAAAAAGAAGAAAAAGAAAATACCACACACACCCCACCCCCTCCTAACTCTCCTCTCTCTCTCTCTCTCTCTCCTCTCTCTCTCTCTCTATCACTGGTCCACCCTACCACAATTCGGACCTCCACTTGTCGGACCACCACCTGCCACTTGTCGGAACACCACCTGCCGGACCACCATCTTTTCGTTTCCAAATCTGCAAAATGAGACCGATGCCATCATAACAACCCTCTCCAGCCATAGTCATTCTTCGTTGTTACCTCCCTCTGCTTCCACCAAGTCATTACTAACTTTTATATACACAAAGATCTTCAATCACATATGATTAGGATATCTTATGAACACTTACATTTTATATTTATATTCTTTTAAATCATATATGATTAACATCTGTTGTAATACTAAATGTTTATGTTGTTAATTATAGTTTTTTTTGACAATGTCTTTTACAAGCAATAATGTGAATTTCTTTAGAAATGAAGATCAAATTGTTACTTCTGTTGAGAGTATTGAAGATGTTGAACATTCAAGCCATCAAAACCAAAACTACAGTGTTTCAGGTAAATTTTATTTTAAATACTTATTTAATCAGTTATGATTATATAAGTAATTCATTGTTTTTTCAATTATTGATGTATTTAGAATTGAATCTGTTTTGTTAATCTTATGTGATTATTCATTAGTTTTTTTTAATAAGTCTATTTAATATAGTGTTAATCATATGTGATTATGCATTTTTAAATATTTAAATAACTATTGACACATGTTTAGTTTATCTATGTTCAGTTTTGTCTTGTAATCACATGATTATATAAGGAATTTATTATTAATCACATGTGATTGTTTGATTATACAGGTGAATGTTCTACTTCTTCCAATGATGCACATTCAAGCAGTATGATGAGTACAAGTTGTGTATCAGATTTTTACATGTCAGATGTTCTACATGATATCAAACCAGACGTTCCTGAAGAGTTTAAACCAACTAAGTCAATGTGGTTCAAAGTTATTCTTGAGGGAGTTAACTTTTATAAAAGATATGCAGAGAAGGCTGGTTTTGATGTTTGTATGAACACATTAAGGAAAAATGGTGATATAATAAAGCACAGATACATGGTTTGCAACAGGATGGGTAAACTAAAAATGAATCCAATGAAATGTAATACAATCTACAGGGGGCCATATTGTAAAGCTAAAATTATTGTGGAACGTGTTAAAGAAACGGGTGAGTATAGGTTTGACAAGTTTCAAGAAATGCACAACCACGAGCTTGAAGATACATTTCACTTGAAAATTTTAAGGATTCTTTCATATTCTGACAAGGAGTTCATTGTCCAGGCTTTTACAGCGAAAATGGGTGCTACAAAAGCTTACAAACTCAAATCAACCTTGAAAGGTGGTTTTGAGCATGTAAGGGGCAAGGTTGTAGATTACAGAAATTTCAAGAGGGATATGGGCTCCATTATTAGATTCAAAGATGCTCAACTTATTGTGAACAAGATGACTGATTGGAAAAACAACTATCCAAATTATTCTTTTTATTATAGATGCGATGAGAATCAAGTCTTAAATGTAATGTTTTAGGCTGATGAAACATATAAAGCATACTACAGTGAATTTGGATATGTTATGTCGTTTGATGCAACTTTTCATACAAATAAGTAAGTATTTACTCTGTATTTATGTTTCTAATCATATGTGATTGATTAATGCTCAACAAGTCTGTTGATGAAAGTATTTTTCTAATCACATGTGATTTATCATTTGTCAACAAGTATATTGATGTGATTATGATTGTAATCATATGTGATTAAAATCAATAAGTTGTATTTTGATTATGTAGTTATATATGAAACATGTATGCATTGGATTTTGTTCCATTCACCGTCATTGATCATCATAAATCATCTGTTACTGTCGGAGCTGGGTTGTTAAGCACGGATGATGTGGATTCGTATAAGTGGCTACTTGAACAATTTCTGAAGGCTCATTCAAATAAATAACCATTACTAGTTTTAACTGATCAAGATGCAACACTAAAGCAAGTTGTTGAGTCTATTTTTTATTAATCAAAGCACAGATTGTGCATGTGGCATATCATGAAGAAACTTCCAAAAAATGTATTTTTTGTCTAGTTTTGCTTTTGTTTACTCAGATGTGTATAATCAAACATGATTTTACACAAACTGTTTAAGTTAATCAGAAAATCAAATATGATTAAACCAAGTCTATTTTTATTGTATATTTTAATCATATGTGATTGAATATCTTTCGATATATAAAGGATGTATAATCATATGTGATTAAAACATTTAAGATTATATACCAGATGTTAGTCATATATGATTTAAAACAATTTATTATTAAATATTATTGTTTCTATTAGTTTATAGTCGCATGTGATTAAATCACAGTTGTTTTCATTTACATATGTTTAAAGCATTTAAATTGATGACATGTTATTTTTTACCTTTATATTTGAATATTAACTGTGAATCACATGTGATTTTTATAGCTATCTGTGGAATTTCTTAAAAGCACACATTTCAAGAAAAGAGTAAATAAGCTTGTTTGGGATATTTATATCGAGCGTGATATTTTCAAGAGGAATTGGGAAATTTTGATGAAAGAATTCAATCTTTAAGATGACAGGTGGGTTAAAGATATTTTTGAAAATAAGGAAACATAGGTACCAACATATTTTAATGATTTTCCAAGATGTGGGTTAATGAAGACAACATCAAGGTCTGAGAGTATCAATTTCTTTTTTAATGTATA